GAAAAGTGGAGGCTTATTGAAACTGTTTTCCTTGTGTGTGACATGACAACAGTGTTCTCCCTCAAAAAGCCTGGCTACTATTTCAATCAATCTAATCGAAAACAACAAAAACTTGTTTTATTCAGTGCTTCTCAACCCAAATTTTCTTTCGGGTAAATGACCAGGTATTATATGCCGTGTTTGACAGGGGTCAGCGGGGAACAAGAGACACTAGTTTTATCAGACGGTGTGACAAAGAGGGCAAGAGACCTTTTCAGAGAAGGCAGTGTTGAAGTCATCCACTGTGGCTCTGTCTAAAACTGCACTGAATAATCCTCCGTTGCAAAAAAAAGCCAGCGTCACAGATTTCTGAACATGCTGAACTTCAACTAGATGATTGAATTATCAGACAGTTTGAAACCCAACAATCTAAAGACATACACACCTTCAACGTGGCTAAATTCAACGTTTTAAGATGGTGTTGCACAGATGGGTCTATCATCTGAGGGTGTAACAGTCAGGTAACAGCCACCTCAAGTTGGGTTGCGACTTGAGGTGGTTGATTGTTTATGATGGCGACCAAGATGTAAGTGCAATGAAACCATTGATTAAATAATACATCATGTGTATTACTTAATTTATTTACATCTGAGACTGGCCATATGTCCCATTGACCCATTGAAATATAAAAAGTCATAAGAAGTCTTGGATTCATCCTTAAAGCACCTACCAATATGCCACTTATATGTTTCCCCCCCACTCATTATGTTTCTAGAAAATATCCTTCCTGAAAGCTTTGGATTTAAAATTCATCCACGGCCTAGTTCAAACACAAACAGTGCACATACACTTGACATATTGAAATGCCCTCTATGAAATATCATCTGCGCTTTGGCTTATTCTAAGAGAAATACAACTGGAGCCTCACGCTGATATCAAGCCATGCATAATTTCATACGTGCAGCACATCCCTTTCAAATACACAGACCCACTTAGTTTAAGTTAATGATCTCAAGTCCTCCTTATCAGTACAATTGGCGAGAACATTACGCATTCAAGACCGTTACTACTCCAAATTTAGGAGCGTCGCGTCGGCTGGGGCTGTGAAACGTCGCCTCTTTCTTTGGGGATGCAGATGAGTCTGGTGCACTTGACGTCTTTTCATGACCTCTGTCGGCCCCCACCCCCCCCTTTCCAGCCCACCCCCACTCCCCCCCGTCCCACACGGCGCTGTCTGTCATATTGGGCCGAGGCATGGCATTGCCACTTGCCCCACTGAGCGTGGGAATGGGATCGTCCAGTCGTTCACATCTCCTGCACTGCAGTTAACGGAATCAATTAAGCCGGCCCGACCCCCCCATACTCCCCCACGCATTTCCCCCCAATCCCCTCACCACTTGTCCCCTCCTCTCCCCTCTCTTCTGCCACCTCCCTCCTTCTCCTTAACCCACTCCCCCACATCTCTCCCTCTCCATGTTTCTCCGTTCAGTATACGTCCTAATTGTTACTGTTTGGGATACCAGCGCCGTTTCCTGGCCGAACTTGATCATGCTGAAATAAGAAGCACACGTGGGTTGCGACAGAAGCAATGAATGCCACTCTTTCATTCCAATGAAATGCTGAGTTAAGCCTCTGAATTCAAATTTCATTCGAATGAAATAACATTTAAAACCACCTTATTCTAAACAATCACATATGGCTATTTAACATGCAATAGCGAGACTGAAGGGAAGTTTAGATTGTGTGTGTTAGTGTGTGTGTGAGAGAGAGAGAAAGATAAAGGATCTTTGTGTCAGCGTGTGTGCATGTGTGCGAATGTTTAAATCTAGATATATATAGGTGAAAAAAAAGGTAAAATAATAGTCCCGTGCTGGTGAAAATATGAAATGACTACGGATGTACATTTTAGGGAAAAAGGCAAACATACTCTCTAGATTAGTATGAGTTGTATGAATAACATCTGGTCCTCGGGCGAATTCAATAATATGTCATCAGTCGTCAACAAGTCCTCGACGAGTCTTGAAGTAGTTTTTACTTTCGGTTATCTAGCTTTATGACGAGCAGAACACTCATACAGCTAGATAACCAAAGATAACAACCCACTTCTAAATCTTCAGCAATAATCCACATGTACATATCCTCTTCTGGTTTCCAGCTCTCGGGACTTCAGATATGTTAAGCAAAAGTAATCAGCGTCCTTTTTCAAGTCACATTGTGCATTGTATCCCTTATATTCCCCTTTTGCCATTGAGGGCCGCTATTTCAAAGCCTTGAGTGTTGTACACCCCGCATAAAAAGAGATAAATTCTTCAAAAAATGATATATAATCCCAATGTTAATGTCATATTCACTTGACATTACCCAATATTACTGTGTTGAAGAAGGCCTTGAAAATCGCGGGTAAGGTGCAGTCTTCCTTGCACAGGGCCCTCATTTGCAATGCAAATAGCCCCATTCCCACAAAGGCTGTTTCGTATCTATTAAGTCGTTGTGGCAGTAGCAATAGATATCCTGTGAGGCCGGCGGAGAAGAAACATAGCGAAGGGGGGAATCCGGTTTCCTTTGGAAAGAGCAATAACGGCACAGGGAATTACGACGCAAATATTTCGGATAATGAAGAATGGAAGTTGTTTTTTTGGACAAAGATTGTTAAATGATCCTTTCATATCCAGCAGTTAGTTATGGAGAGATAAAGCCGATGACTCTGAGCCAAAGGGTCCGTCCTGCGTGCTGCATGGTCGGTCTGTCTGAAAAGAGTGGGGCGAAAGGGGCCATCCCCAAACGATCGGGGGGTTGGGGGTGGCCAAAATATGGACCAGCCCCGGTGAGGTCAAAGGCCTCGGACCACGACAAGGCAACTGCGGTGATGTCAAGAAGAAAAAAAAAATCGCAGATGCACCCTACTATCCATGCAATCTCCATCCATTACAGTGAGCGCGCTGGAATAAGTCCGCCGTGCACCGCGCAGTCTGCGCGCACTCTCACACTCACACGGAAATGAAAAGAGATGGCAGGGAAACCATATTTTTGCAAAGAAAAGAGGGGGATTCAACTGCTCCTAATGGAAAATGCGATCAGATTTGGTATTTGCTACAAGAAAAATGAAACATCTCTACGAGAGAATCCCGAGGCTGCAAAGGCGACAGCGTCTTCTCTTTCCTGCGCAGGCTGCCTTTCCCATTCGCAATAACACGCGACTTGCTCGCTCGTTGCGATCCGTCTCTAATAACAGGTACCACTGTATGCGTTCAATTGGTATCACGTACTCGGTTCTACGTTGAATTTCTTACTAACCCCGTGTGTTTTGTTTTTTTGTCATCGGCGCATCCGAAGGGTAGACTGCGATGGTATTCGGGGAGTCTGACTATGTCGCCTTACGCAAAATAAATCCCAGGCGCTGCGCCCTGTGCGAGCGTGAGTGAACTCGCTCACTTTTCCACAGAAATGAAGACAGTTAACCGATAGCTTTGCACAAATGGGTTAATATCTGGGATCTATGGAAGTGGGTCAACAATAACAAGCAGTGGAACATGTGATGGATCATGCGCAGGAGCATGCAACTGCAGAATACCAGGTCCGCTTATGGTACCTTGTGCACGACTTTGATTCTGTTTTGGACCATAAAACACCCTCAAATCAGGAAAGAAAAGTTAGCCTCTTAATCAATAATTATGCGTCTGGATGTGTGACAGAGAAAGCTTTTGTGTCTGTGTGAATGCGAGAGTGTGCGTCTGTCTGTGTGTGTGTGTGTGTGTGTGTGTGTGTGTGTGTGTGTGTGTGTGTGTGTGTGTGTGTGTGTGTGTGTTCGTGTGCTTATTTGACAGATATAGGATAATGGAATTATCAAATTAACACGTTATTTCTCAACGGCATCATCAGCTTCTATACTTTTTCCCTGCAGGGGCCCCATTCACTTACTACTGTTTTAGATCTAGCTCTCAGGTTTACTGGTTGGTGGGAGGGGCGAATCAGAGGGGTTTTAATGAGCAAACATAAGTCACAAGGCCTGTCCATTTCAATAAAGCTATAGAGTCTATAAACAGCACTTGGTCCCTCACACGTTAATCCACAACTATTGCATTCATATTGTTTTGTCTTACGTATCCCTTTCTAAAGAAAATATTCCACCTGCAAAAATTTGCACTAAAAATGTTCCAAAATTCCAAATTCACCTTCTCCAAATTCAATTTCTACATATTCACAATCAGTCTGTCCTGATGTGGAACTGGTGAATACTGTAAGGCCAACTATATAATTATGATCATCGGTATAAGGCACTCATTAGGGTAAATGGGGCTTCAGAATCGGCCTGCCACACCGAGGCCATAGTTTAATCACAGCACAGCATTTTTTAAACTTACAACCAACTGATCCTCAACAAAATTATAACAAACTGAATTTCCATGAGAGTTATTGCTACTGAAACCCCTCCCGAGTCCTTCTGGGAAAAATCCCAGAAGGACTCGATGTTTGTTTTATTGGCTCTACTTTTTTATAAATTAGGCATTTATGCATAACAACACATGGATAAACCCTACAGTGAACGGTTGGTGTGCAATACATTGTGTGGCTATTCTGGTGACCTATTTTCATTCCCTGTGAGCCAAACTTTTTACCTTTGTTTCAGCACACTTTAGCACAAATGCTGACGTGTCTCTGCACCTAACTGAAACTGAACACTTTAATTTCTAATCTCTCAAACACATCGATGTAGAAAACACAATTTAAAAAAACGATGTTCATATACTTATATAGCTGCAAACGTGGTAGACTTTATAAGTCAGCGGTTAGTTGGAATATACAGTTGCATCTAAAAGGTGCCAAAAAGTCAAATCGGTGCCTCTTCAAAAGTGAGGAGATCTCAGTCTCAAACTACACATTTCCTTTTCTACACGTACAGCCTCGCAGTGAATCGTCGATCACTCAACAAATACAGTCATAAATAGCCTCATATTCAACTTTTTGCGCATATGCAAGACCTTTACGCGCCCTATTAAAACACACACAAAAGTTGCACTTACTTCCTCGAGGTGATCGAAATCACAGCAACCGAGCAGAAAGCGTCCCGAGCAGGGGGAAGAGCAGCGGTGTTCACACGGCTCCCTGTGAACCGTGATGTGGTGTCTGTTCCCCTCAAATATCCCAGCCGTGATATTTGATGGGGGGGGGCATCACTTTAAAATTGCCGTTAACACTCAGTTGCCTGCATTAGTCGTGCTTCGGCTGCTCTGTGCAAAGCATGAGCATATCCCTAGCACATGACAGACGGATAGAAGGGGAAGGGGAAGGGGGAGCCGGAGGGGGAGGGGTGGGGGGAGAGAGACAACTTTCCCATAACGTCTACAAGCACCAAATAGAAAAGTGCATGCACAGTTGAGCTCTCAGAGTGTGCATGCCCCCCCCCTCCCTCCCCTTGGTGGGATGAAGAGGGAGGAGGCGAGGAGGAGGAGAAGGAGGGACGGGAGGGGACGGGGGGGGGGTGTTAAGTCCATCCGTCTATGTGAGGAGAGGACGTGCTCTGAAATTCAAAACAAGTTCCCTCGGTTCTTTTGTTGCACGCGCGAACTGAGGCAGCATTGTTCGGCCCGGCGCGGACCCCCCTCTCCCCCCTCCCGCCCCCTCCCCTGATGACCAGGTTACGAAGTGAGCCTCGCAGTCGGGCGGTAATGAATTTGCTGCAGGCGCTTCGCTAACGCGCTCTGACAAACGGAACGCATTTACCGGTTTCCAGACAGAAGGGGGGGAATGATTTGCTACATGCGATTCCCAAACTAAAAGTATAGAATGAAGTCTTTAATTAAAAAAAAGCAAGCGAAAACACTGAGCTTTAACGTGTCAAAATGTTTTGGGATCTTTGCATGCAGTTAACTTAGGAACTATACCTTGCACCACGAAGTAATCCCAGACTCAGGGATATAAAAGATAGTATTTACCGTAAAGTTGAATGATCCTTCTCTCTCAGGGCAGGGTGTGTGTGTGTGTGTGTGTGTGTGTGTGTGTGTGTGTGTACCTGTACCTGTACCGTTTTGGACGGGGACGCTCGTATCCTACCTGTCAGTAGCCTCTGCCTTTAGCTAATTATTGTGCTGGTGACATAAGTATATTTTATTTGGCTTTTTCCGTAAAATGTGTATAGATGTGCCTCTGTCTTGGGAGGAAAAGTCGCTGCATCATCTTTTATTTCCCCCGGTCTCAATTGTGAGCTTTTCCCAGTTATCTTTCTGATTTGAATGTCTCACGTAAAAATTACAAAGGCATCTAATCGTCAAGTGACTGAAAGGACGTCAAGCTGGGAACGCAACGCATGCCCCCCCCACACACACACCGTTCTCCCCTAATTGCAGGCGTAACCATTGGATTCACGTTTTAGTTTAGCAGCGAGGGCACGTTCAATGACGTAGACAAGCATATCAGCTACGTGCAGCCATATTTAAATACATCAAGGCAATTAGCGCATCAAAATATGCAAATCCCGCTTACTACATAGTCCGCCTGACTGCAGTCGGAGTAATTTCGCCCCAGCCAGTTCTTGGGTTTTTGTTTGCGGTTTTGAAAGCCCAGCATAGCCTAGTTTGTTTTTCCAAGAGGCTTCGTTAACGTGAACGGGACGGACGGGAGAGAAGACAAGAGAACGGGGAACCGTGGCTCCTGCGTGGAAAACCGCCCATGCGTAATGAGACGACCTGCTCCACCATTCTCAATATTCCGACGCCGTTGGCTCTGGTTTGCGTATTATATTTAATATTGATGCATATTCAGTTTGTAGATTTGCACTATCCGCACGTATTGTTCAATGTTTATTATTTACCCTTGTTTATCGTGATTACGTGTACTGCCTTTCATAGCCAGGCTTTATATATTGGTCTTAATATTAGCTAAAGTTATTTATTTTACCTGAATTATGTAATCGACAGAAGGCTTTGAATACTCATGTGCAGCATGCATGAACAAAGAGCGCTGCGGTGGGCAAACAATAGAGCAGATCCGGAGGTAATACAGAGGAGGTGATACTTTAAGACGGACACGGCTGGCTCAAAGTAAGACAATGGCACGGTCTCGGCAGAAACTAATAACCCCAAAGTCTCGTGCCCAGTTTGTAAGAAATCCAGTGACGCAGCGCTGACATTTAGGCGACAATTGCTCCGACTGTCTGTGCACGCGCACGGTGCCAGGGACGAGCGTGCGCACGCGAGTGCACTGCGCATGGATGCACGCATCTTCTATATACACATAACATAACATAGAAGACATAGATTTCTGTTGAACTTTCTCTTTTTTGTTGATGCTGTATTTGAGACGCACTCACCGCACGCGTGGGAGCGCCGCAGAAAAAGCGCGTCCCAAATCAAACGGTATCACTTACCTCTAATTAACAAAATCCAACGGTCCCGCTCAGCGACTCGGCGTATTCGACGTGTCTTTGAGACGTTTCTCGGACTTCATGTCTTCTGCCACAGTAGATGCGGTCCCCGAAGGCTACACCTCGTCACCGAACCTTACCCACGCTGGTGGCTTAACACCAGTGGACAAACCGGCTCATAAAGATGTTCAACAGTCCAAAAACAACTTTTGAGTTATTCCTTACTCTACAAAGTCATATTCACTCATTACTTGTTGGGGAAAAGGAGACGTACCACTTTACTCAGGTTGCTCGTTTGGAGCTTGAACGATCATCGTCAGCACCTTAAAAAAGGGACACCTGCCTAAACCTTTCAAATGAAAATAACCAATTGAATTGAGTTAACGGTGTGGAACAATAGATACAGTTATAGTATAATGTATCCAAGAAGAAGAAGATACTTGTATTTTAATGAGTGCATAAGAACAGATCGTTGTGTGTGGGGTGGTTGTCAAATGAACTAATCTTGTTCCCCATCTAATTCCTTCGATTGGTGGATGTCGTCTTCCCATTTAAAAAAAAAAAGAATCACTTCGTCCATTCACTTATTTCTAGGAAATGTGCACCCTTAACACCGCGCACGAGGTTTATTGCTCACCTTCATTTTTTACATACCACTGTATTTCTCCTGAGCATAGACAGGTCCGAATGAGTGTGTATGCAGTTGGAGCGGGGAGCAGTGCGCTGTTCAGCGGTGCTCATTTGAGTCATGAATAGGAGACATTTATGTTTACCGGGTATCCTCCGTGCTCCTGTGGATTGAACGACTTACGGTTGCATTTAGGAGCCCGTAACGGCGTTTGGCCAAAGCGGAGACACCAGGCCGCGTGTTCGAGTCCAAGAAAAACACAACAATTCTTCTAGATTACCAACCAATGATTTGATCCTGTTTTAAAATAGCACAAATAAGCGATTTTCCCACATTTACTTTTTTCTTTTACTGTATTTTGTGCAAATGTGATGTGAGCCAATCATTTGGAAACCGGGGCAAATAAGAGTGGGCACTGATTTCTCTCCAGAAATCACCAGTAACGACAAACAACCATAAATTAAAATATGTGTTTTTTTCCCCCAGTCTGTGGTCACGCATCCGCGTTATGAGGCAATATGATTTGGTTTGTGCAGAAAAATGAGATCCCGGAAAGGTTTTTTTAATTAATGTATAAAACACCTCCAAATAATAAAACAGATTTCCGTGCCTTAATTTGATTTTTAAAGGTTTGACGTGTCTCGCCCACAGTATACTTTGTGCTGTTAAGTTACAGAGGAAATATACAGATTTCCACAGCTGACATGTGTTATATACATGCATGTATTTGTATTGTTGTTATTATTTGTATTGATCATTATTTATCAATATACTTGATTTATTATTTTAATTTTATTTTTGTGATTATTTGTTATTATTATTTACATTATTTCACTTGTTTTAAAAATCGGATCAATAACAACAACGTGTAGATTTGAATGGTGAGTAAGGCATATATATCTGACACTTATTTTCACCAGGAAATCAGTTTCTTTACGCTGATTTTGGAGAATTAACGGGCGTGTTTACAACGTTAATCGACAAGGAGACTGAGGATGAGGACGGTGAGGGTTAAGGGGCGTCGACTAGCCAACTAAATGGTGACATCTAGTGGTGGTGCTGGAGAAGGTTGACGTAAATGTGCACCCCCCCCCCCCCCCGTCCGAATGAATGCATGCATAATTACATACACGTGTGCACGTGCACGCTATTTTAATGCACTTGCCTTTTGGTTAAAAGACCAAATTGCCACAGTCGGATACACATGACTGCGGTGGCATTAAACAGGAAGATCTGTTGCAGTTCGGGTTTCTGCAGTTTGGAAAAATTCTTCTGGCGTCCTCGTTTGTATTTGTGCGGGCTAATACAACCCTGCTGAATTGATTATTTTTGTAATGGCATTTAGATTTGAACTAAAATGTGCGTGCTCCTTTCATATTCTCTGACCTCATTGTTTATTGCATCTCTAGCGTTTAACAAGAGACAGTTCTAACGGTGACGAGCTTTCCATCAGCCTGACCCCTTGAGAAACTTTTAGATCTGATGTCACAATCGATTATATCTAACACTTAATACATTACCTCCACTGACTTCACCAACCTGTGGTTCGTCCAACACTGGCGACAGGAAATTAACCCTTCAAACTCACGAGAAGCTTAATATGATAGAGAGGTTGAGGGAACTTGTGCGGCCTAATTCAAACCTGTGAATAACTCGTCACATCTTAGATCTCATGATCCGGAACATTTTCGTATGTTTACATGTATCGCAGTAATAATTATGGAACATGAACTACCAGTTTGGCGCCGGAAATCATTGGATGATTTTTTTTGAAGGGAATTATTTTCGGTTGCAGCCTAAATGAGCCGGTGAGAGGATCTCACTGGCGTTATTATTTTGTTCTCTTCGATCGTTTTCACGCTTAAAAAAAGGAAGGTTTTTGTGTTTATATTTTCATTTAATATATTTAAGAAAGGAAAGAAAACATCCAAATAGAGATCCCTTTTTTGAATATGACAACACTTCCTTCTCTTAGATTTTTTTTTTCATTCATTTTGTTACCACAGTTTCTTGCTTGAAAATAATATATCTAATGTCTATATATGTTATAGATGTGCTTATGTATATTTTTATCACATAAAATACATATATAACATAACTAAGCTTGGCTATTTTAAATGTAATTGGAAGAGACACAAACACACATTATAGGGGAAATACTTAAAATATATATGGACCAAGTCCAAGTAGTTTGCCTAAGAATATACAAACCACACCTTTCCATTGGAATGACTTGATTTTTGATAATTTATGTATTTTATAAACATGTGTCCAAACCAAGCGATTGAAAAGATAGAACGCATATCTCCTCTTCGAGCTCTGCTGGTCTTCTGAGGAGTCAGCATAATAATATAAATATTTGATATGAATTGCATCTTATAATAGCGTTAGCTTGGTTTTTGAATCAGCATAATACTCTAACGAAAAAGACTAAACAAAAAACAATTCACTGCAGGGTATTTCTAAAGGGAAAGTTTTATTAGAAAACCATATCTTAACTCAAAGGAAAGGATAAACCCTTGATTTATGGGTGAATAAAAATAGCAAAATTGCGTTCCATTATGTAAGTAGAAAATAAATAAGTTAATAACGCATCAAACCCGCAGCTCGCATCAAATGACTCTAATTTGTAAAAGCAGTGATTGCGTCTCAACGCCGTCATTTAATCACACCATTATCTCCTAACAAATGCACGCGTTCTTCCATTTTCAAAAGAAAAAGTGACATCCGCTGTCGTTATTATTTAATACGCAGTTCTTAAAAGCTCCACTGCAGCGTATGTGCGTCAGACAGCCACACGATCGTGACACGAACAAACACATAAAGGACATGATGGATTCAACTAAACTCCCGTATCTTATTCGTCTCTTTCTTATTTTCTTCCCCGTTCTTGTCCAACACCCTCTCCTTTTGGAATACAAGATATTCCAAGATATATAGATCGTTTGAATGCAACTTTTTGATACGCAGATCACTGTTTGCATTGTTTATGAAAATGGTTTTTATGTGACTATTTATAATATAATGTATTACTGAGAGATTATTAAGCAACCGTTGTGTTAAGTGAGATTCACCATGGCTTTTAATATTGAATATTTGGCTTATGAGAAAGCCATATTTGTTATTATAAATGGAAGGAAACAATTATGAAAATGGGGACATTGCCATTATTTCAATGTAAACCAAAGTCTTGACATAAAGGGGAGCTGCTACCTGGCACCATACTTTGATTTTCATTGATGGGGTATTTTCATGTTGAATTGTTTTTTCTGTATGAAAGTCTATCCATAGTTTGGAGATGCATGCAGAAAAAAGTCAAACACAATGAAATCACACCAAGTCACATCAGGATAACTAAGAAAGCCAGCAACTTTACTGAAATCTCTGCAAAATACAAATAGCCTTCCCCATCCAGCAGATGAGACTTAGATTTCATCCCCAAACGTTTCCACTATAAAGCTGAATCAAGTGCCTTGAGTTACAGAGATGTGGATTTAATTTAATGCCATCTTAGTCTCAAGTGGCGACAAAGGCCAGCTTATGCCGCTGAAAGCCGCTCTCGCGTTCCAGAAAACATTAGTTTCAAACCTCCACCATGTTCAGGTTTATACAAGCTACATTTGATACTACAGACTGACTTTTTAAGCATTTCAACATATTACTCTTTCAAAAAAAAATGTACTTTTTAGCTTTCGGATACAACTTAAATAAACCACAAACACGGCACAGCAACAAAGTTTCCCATGTGACTGTAGGGACCTTAGGCAATGGTATTACATGGTTATTACACATGGCTGTACAGGTGTATGGTCTCCTCTTTTCACGGCAAGTGACTTCGCAAAACATCCATTGAGGTACTGCTTGGGTAAATTCTGAGGCACCAACATTTAACCAATTCTAAGTAATGACAACAACTGGTCAACAGATGATGATAAAGAACGATTTTAAATAAAACCAAAAAAAAGATACAGAGAGAGTTTTTGTTGTTGTTTTTGGTTAAAATTTGTGTCGAAACTAAAGCAGTGCAATCAACCATGTCAGGACATGTTGGCATTATTCCAATCAGTGAGCCAGCACTATGAGAGCGTGTGGTAGGCTAGGATCAAGTGGACAGCAAGCGTGGGTTCACTTGATCGGGATTTGATGACTTTGCTGAGTCAGAGCAAATAAGAAATTGTGAATACAAAATACGTTCTTGGATATACGCTTTTAAATGCACAGGGAGACCAACAGGTAAATCGCTGTGGTTGGTATCGACATCGAAAGCTACATTTGACTGACTGAAATTGAAATGTGAAACCGATTGTACATTTGAGCAAATTCTTTTATTGTCTTGTTTCAATGCTTGCAAAAACCATAAATGAATGTGAAAATAAAGTTGAGTTTACAACACAGAAATGCCACTGGCTTTGGTTTCTCCACACTTTCGCTGCCTGAAACATCATGTTCATTTTTTTCTTAACCATTTTGTATTGAATAAAAAAAAAAGAGAAGAACACCATATAGAGGCTCTGCCCCTTTTTGACTACACAGACTGTATACAGTAACAACATAGTGAACCTGCATGAAATATGCACATAGAAATATTATAACACTTATGTGACAGCAGATACGGGAGTGGGAGGCAGAGAGATGTGTGGCTAGTTTCATTGTTTAGAAAAGAGTAAATCTAAACAGCTTTTTATTTCAAAATAAACAATTGTGCTTCTTTCATACCAGCATGATCAATTAGTCCTTGCGTATCCGACGCCGAACTGTCGTGTGAAATATGGTAAATTATGTGGAACCCTGTTCTGAAGAGTGGAACATGAGGTGTCACAGGACGACACCGAATCAAATGAAGGTTTGTAAATTATCGGGGGAAGTTACTCAAAAGTGAACTGACAAAATTACATTGTATAAATATGATTCAAAAGAAAAAAGGGTACTGATTTGTGTCGGGGCTTGTGCAACGTCTGGAACACAAGCTAAGATTGTGTTGAAGATTTGGAATTGAACTGAACGTCGCTACTGTCTAACGTATGCCAAGTAGATAAATAAGGCCAAGGATGAACTATCTGATGCATTCAAATACATCTAGACGTGGATGGAGGTGACTGTCATATTTTCCTCATTGCTATAACAGTCGTGTACATCATGTGTCGACTCTTATTTCTGTGTCATCCCCAGTTCCAATCTAATGACATTTTCCACGAGCAGGTTGTGTTTTAGCTTTCAGGCCCGTCTCTCCTCCGTCACACAAACCCTAGCGATGCTTTCCAGCTGGTTTTTGAAGGTTAGACTAAATACACGCCCGAACAGCACTGTTCACTGGGCTCAAATGAAACCAACCAGACAGCATGTGCCACTGCACATAGAAACTCCACTAAGAAACCAACGAAAATCATTAGTATATATATTTATATATTAGAAAGCTATACACAAGCATGTTAATTTCACAGATTTTTTTTTTTTAAAGAATCTTAATATTACCGTTATTATATATAATTAGAAATACACGTTTAAAAACAAACCTCTACAAAGATAAAACAGTTCAGCAAAGCATTGGATCTCAGTCTGTCTTTAATGGCTCAGGGCAGCAAAGCCCTGTCAATTCCCCTCTGGGCAAACTATCCTTCTCTTATTAGCAAAGCTATCAAAAACACATTCTGGCTTATAGAAACTACAAAAAGCCACAAAAATGCTTTGCATTGTATTCCTTTCATATGAAAATATAAGCAAGTGTATCGTACAATTGTTTTTTATTTTAAATTTTTTTGTTCATTAATACTGAATATTAATACTAGATCCAGCGTTTTCTCGAGTACACGAACGCAGCTCTTAGATCAGAGGCTGGTTCCTCGCTCAGCTCCGGTGGTTAAGAGGAGCGCTGAGATCATCAAAGGTTCCACGCGTCTAGCATTGGGTCTGCCTGTTTACCTGTACAATTCTTCAAATGTTGCATAATAGCTTTTCATTTAGTGAGTAAATAAATCTTGTAATGTCTGGCAACTTTTGACCCCTGCCCTTTCCCCCTCGACCCTCTATTTACATAAATACGTTGAACCTGCAACATGACATCATCTAATGTTAACACACATTTTTGCAAGGGAGAACTGCAGAGAAGGTATATAGCATGAAACTGACACTGTACACATGTATTGTTTGTCCAACTCAAGTGCTAAGGTGTTTTCCATTGGACACACTCACTCTGATGTTTTTTTGTTTTTTGTTTTTTTGTCACTAGTTATCGCTGAGGCAAAGTGTAAGTACGTTTTATTAAACAGAGTACCTGACTATTTTTTTTGTTTATTTGTTGATATGCATATATGTACACATACACTCACGTGTAAAGATATATGCATACGTGATTCTTTTTATCCACACACAATACAATTTATGCATAGTTCCCCAACAGAAATACCCCCAGATGCCATTGCAGCCAACACCCACCCTCCCCAAAACCCCCATTACAACACCCCACTGCTTTATATAATGGCAATATGTATAGCACACACACTCAGCAAAAAGAAAATAAAAAAGGAAAAAGAAATTACAAACATATTTTAGAAAAGGGATGTCCCTTTTAATTCCTTCAGCGTTAACAAGATAAAAGGAGATAGGCCTTGGGGTCGGGTGCTTGACTCGTGATATTAGGTGAGAGGAGGAAGAGGAGCTGACTCAGGAGGGGAGGGGGTGGGGGCATCGTTACGCTGCCTTGCCGGAGGCTTAGGGTAACTCGGGGCAGTGCCGGGGACGGGGGCGGAGCTATCATGTGGCCCATCCTTCTGACAGGCGCACCCGTTTGATGGAGGGGCTCTCGCGCTCATCCATGGCGGGCCGGCCCAGTCCCAGAGGTGAGTGGAACTCGTTCCTGTGCTCATCGCGGTCGCTGCCCTCATGGGAGCTGCTACAACTGCTCAGGCTATCAACGGGGGAGCGTCCCGAGTCCTGGCGGGACGAGGGGTTCTGGGGAGGAGGTACCCCACCGTAGCCCCCCGTGCTGCTGGTGCGATCTCTAGGAGGAGAAACAGGTTCGGACTTGATGTGCAGGCTTTGAGCAGAGGGCAGGGAGAGATTTGAACCCTGACATAAGTGAGAGCTAGAGCAATTTCTGTAGGAAGGAAAGGACACGCAAAGGGGTTACAGAGTTACAGAGCAAGAAACAAAGTGATTTTAAAGGCAATCTGTCAGAACCAAACATGCACGCCAGCATGCATACAAACACTCACACAAACTCATATTCAAGAAAACACGTAGTTGTGACATTTATATTGGATCTTGCGAGGGAAAGTTGAAAACAGTGAGGGAGTCTCGGCGTATCTCAAAATTCTCTCCTGTGATTTATGTGTTACATCATGCATTTCACAACAGCGCAACACCTCTAATTAAGTTCAATGCACTCACCCTAGCTGGCCGAGGGCTGAATGCTGCATGTTCTGAAGGTGTTGCTGTTGCCACCCGCTCATTGAGCCGAGGTGAAGGGAGCTGCCGCTGTTGAAGCCAGACAGGGAGGACAGGTCTGCGCTATTCAGGGAGTACTCTGTGTGCAAACACGCGGGAGAAAGAAGGAGCAGGAGGAGGATTAAAAGTTGTTCCAATGAGTCCAAGTTGCCAAGAGAGGACAGCTGTGATGAATGCTGCTGTTCTCTGGTAGTTGGTGCGATAGTAGCGCCCTCTGCAGTTGAACCAATGCATTGTATTTACAGTTGGAAAATGTGTGCAGGTTGACACAGGTGCACGAGTCAAATTCTTTTTACACAACATCCAAAACAAAACTTGATGAGTCGGTTTATTTTTTGGCGTACTACAGGGTAACTGAAAGTATTTTAGACTACATTGACATCACTGAGTACTTACCGGTACCATAAGAAGTAGAGATGGCAGACGGGTAACCGCCCATACCCTGTCCTGGCAGTGTGGGAGTTGCTACTGATACCACTGGGGTGGCCAATGACTGAGCAGACTGAGAGTTGTTTATTCTCTGGTTCTGTGACAGAGGAAAGGAAGACAGAGAGAGAGAGAGAGAGAGAGAGAGAGAGAGAGAGAGAGAGAGAGAGAGAGAGAGAGAGAGAGAGATGGAACAGGCTTGATAACATGAAACCAACTCCAAGACAAAACTAAACAAAAAAACCCTACAAGAAACGAAGAAACTTTTTTCTTTAATTTTCTATAATTTCTTTCTTTTACTCAACAGATGCTGATGAATGAATTTGATGCCAACTTCTGGGGAAATTAATCACTTGACATGCGGCACGGCTGAACCCTGCCAACCCTATCATTTACCACCCTTTCCAAGGGCCCGCTGTCGCTATAGTAACGCCATCGGTCTCCAAGGCAACTCAGGGTAGCGACGGCAAGGGAGAGCCACTTTTCTTTAGCACAGGAGCAGAAAATAATGGTGGATTTATGCAAAATGAAAGAGTACTGTTCTGTTTATTCTGAGTTTCTGAATTGAATTATTATTATTTATTATTCTACAATAAAAGAAGTGAGTATGAAGTGAATATGTGTGCTGCTCAAGCTTGTGTATGTAGGTGAGAAGAGAAAAGGTAAGTAAGGAGCAGGGACCAAATGGCTAAGGCAGAAAAGAGGCCAGGCTGCTTTTACTCTGACGCTCCACTAGATGGCACTATGTGCCCTCACAGCATGTCTTAACGGGGGACATTGGAGCCTTCAGCAGAGTCAGAAACAATAAAGGTTAAAGTTGCTCTGGAGTCAAGACGGCTTTACGCAAAAACGTTGTGTGTTTTGATGTAAAAACATCAGTAGTGAGGGAAAAAATTTCAATTAAATTCAAGACGTCAGATTCAGGTGACTGCAAGGCTCTCAGTTCTAAAAGCCACATTATTCTCCCAAGAAGTGTCTTAAACGTCTTTTAATTGTAAATTTTTCAGGTCTCAGATTTCTGAATCTGACAGTCAGTCTGACTTACCAATAGCAGATTGAAATCCTCAGACTGACGGCATTAAAAGGAGAGGGTAATAAATTCAAATTAATAAGTGTGACTTAACGGTAAGTAGTGGCAATCTAGGGATGGAGCAGCCGGAAGATCGAGACAACAGACATAGAACTAAAAAAAAAGTGAATGCTATTGCGGCTTTACACATTCGTATTAGAAAAAGACATATGAGCGGCTAATGTAACACTTACGTATACGCACACATAAAGGGAAGTATAAAGCACAGTATATCAGACTTGGGCCAAAGTATTTTCTTTTTTAAGATGCTGCCAATGAGCATGAAAACACAAAAGTCTCTCAAGCACAATCTCATCAACCTCAAGTCTGATATGAAGCGATGAAAGCAGCAGAGGGAACATGAAAGGTAATCCACGATAGCAAATATACCCAGAACCCCACCCACCCCCCAATAGATATACACTGGGGAAATGGCCAGCGGTATTGAAAAAGGACTCACGATGGAGGGCATGTTGTTCTTGGCGCCAGGGGGGATGAGCACACGTAGGTCAGGTTTGCGGTTGTTCATGCCTAAATTCATGGGCGGGGGAGACTTGGTCTGCATGTTCTTGTTCATGCCACCTGGAGACACCAGCAGACCTGGTGAGTTGCGATGGTTCCCATATCCATTTCCTGAGAGAGCACAGAAGGGGAGGGGAGGGGGGGGGTGGGACATTAAATATATTTTGAGAAAAACAGACACAGCGATATGTTATGCGACTGGCTTTTGAAGTTTAATAAATGTTGGAAATCCTGCTGTTCATGACAATGTCGCCTGACGAAGAAGTGCAGGACTACATTTGAGCTCCTTTTCACTGTCCACCCCCCCCCCACCCCCCATCTCTACTTCCTGTGTAAGACATTTTATTAGCTCACCAGAGAGTTATAAATGGTGTTTTATGAAAGTGGCACACACTGGCAAGGCAGACAGGCAAACAAGGGTTCTGCTTTTTGCCTCGGTGATTACCACTGTTTGCTTGGCAGCCGTACGAAGGAGGCACCCACTCGAGAGGACCTCACCCGCCACCTCTGTCACTGTCAATGAAGGCAACATGTGTCCTGCAACAGCCAGTGAATCGTGTAAAAACATCTAATTACGGGTAGCGAGACCACTGAGGGATGGGACCTATCATTTGGCCATCAGAGCTAAACACATGTGTGGTTCTTCCAGACAAAGATCCTGCCTTGGGGTTTCCACCAGTTCAGTCCCCTAAATACGGAGGACCAAGTGCAGCACCCATTTCCTCCTTAGAAACCGGTGGGGCAAAATCCAAGCAGATCATTAAAAAAAAACTGAAAGTGGAGCATTCTTGCAAGGAACATAGTCTTTGTTTCTAACCCCATCCCACAGGCTGTTTTTCCCCCTGCTTTCCAAGGGGTGGAACACAGGGCACTGTGTGGACGTTCCCACTTGAAAGAAGGGCAGGAATTATACGTTAGACATGAATGAATTTCCTAATCATATACTCTAGGGGAAAATGAGATGCAGATGTCTTCCTGGGCAATTTCCCTCGCTGATCTTTGTTTAATTTGAGAGCGGGGTTTTGTGTTGTTTGGAAATGAAAAGTCTCAATAGCTCAATTTGATCAATCTGAAGAGTAAACGACTGCTAGCGGTGAGAGAAAATGAGAAAAACAGTGTGTGTGTGACTGCTGTCGTGCGTTCGTGTTTGTGCCTTTGCCGCCGTGTGTGATGTGTGAGCATTTACGAGTCGATATTAACAACCTACAATTTGTGTGATATTGTATGTTTTGCTGTGTACAACTTTCAGAAATTGCAATATTCTACACAAGTGACATTCCACTGTCATACTCAAAGTACACAGGCACAGTAAGACTTGAAACTCCACGAGACATGACTCCTTAAGCACTAAATCGTGCATATGAATGCACGTGTGTGTTTTGTATTGGACCCTCTTAGTTCCAGTGTCAATTTCACATTAGCAAGGAGGCAGCTGCCTCTTCAGTTCTCCCGCTCTTTCATTCTCGTGGTTCTGGTCCTTTGTGGAATTGAGTGGGTGCATGTGGAGATAGATGAATGAGACCTCAAACACACATAAAACACACCCACACCCACACACACACACACACACACACACACACACTTTGGTAAATAACTCAGCAGGAAGTACATCGGTGTTTCTGTACAGATGAATTAGAAAAAGGCGCTGAGCTTCAGAGAGACATTAATACACACTTTGGTCATGATAACACGGACTTCATCTTGGTGACTGCTAATCAGACATCTGTGTATTGCCACCCTGTGGAGCTGGCTGCAGTCCAGTCAATTATATGCTGGATGGCTGTGATGATGAGTGGCAGAGGCCAGTTCTTAAGCCCTTAAAACGTAAAATCACTGGCTAATTAAGCTAACAAGGCAAGAACTGTGACTCAAATCCTTCTATTCTGTGGCTCCATCGCCGAGCTTTCAGGAGTTTTTTGAATTAAATGCCGCACGCGTTGGCTCAACTATAAAAACGCTACAGCTCTTTTCGACTCCCTTCCTCGAAATGCTACTCTTCACAGTCGAGGTGCGGCGCACGCTGGCGTCAACCGTTCACAGGAAGTCCCACATTTAAACCAAATTCACACAAAGAGAACGACATCTGATCTGAGCTTACGATAAACAGCTTTTTGCTATTTCTGAGGTGTGGAGGTGAAAGCTGCGGTCAAAGCTGAAGGATAGCAATCTGTCGCTACATGGTTATAACCTATTGCCTCTTTGAGATACATGTGTTTGACAAGAAACCCCTAGAGTTTGTATTCTCTCTCTCCCTCTCTCTGTACCACACACACACACACACACGAAGGAGAGGTGTGTGGTTAAACTCATACATTTTACGGTTACTGAACAAATTTCTGATGTCCTGTTGTGGTCTAACAGGCGCACTCCCTTCTATTCCCCGAACACACACACTCTTCCGTTGCGGTTTGGCTAAATGTGCATTCAACCCTGAATCCTCCAACTGAACTAAGGTGTCACACTCACGCTTAACACTTGAACAGTTGGTGTGAGGTGCTGCCAAGATGGAGACAAGTATTGTATGATCTGCTGGAGTCGACCTGTTGTCAGTTCTTATATGTTTGCCCATTAGCTTGTAAATCTCTCTGATTTTGACCAGAGATGTCTTCAAAATGCAGCGCGCTCGCGCGTGTGTGTGTGTGTAACACATTTGGGGGAGTAACCGGTGTGTGATGAAGCTGAGAGGTGGCGTGACTTTCTGGTTAGTTCGTCTTAGTGCTTTGGTGAGCGGAGGGCTGATCGGAGCACAGACGACAGCTACATAATTGCATAAACGGAGGTGGAAGATTTTTACAAGCTGGACCCGCAGTCCGCAGCCGTCTTTCTCTCCTTCCCTCCCGTTCCGCCCCTCACCTTGCGGTGTTCCCATGCCAGCAAAGGGGATGACAAATTTCACACCAGCTGTATACAAATATTTGAATGCACGTTCACACTGCCCATAATATTTCCATTGGAGAGACACGAGGACTCAGCCTTCCTTTAAAATGCCCCATGTGCGCTGTGCTTTAGACTTTACCCCATGTCTGGCTTTCAAGTGGCAGTTACCAATTACCGAGGATTTACTCCAGATACGATTAGCACATAGTGTATCGTAGTGCAAAGGCTCCCATGAAACTTAACTTTGAGGTACACAATAATGTCAACTAGTTAAAGTACCGTTAAGCAATCACAACAGTGTTGCTGGACAACTGAAAATAAAAAAATGCCTTATTTCCTTAAAAATTGCTAACGACATTGTACTTATTGCAAATTTGTTATTACTCTAACTATACTATCTAAGGCTGTTTTTGTGCCATGACTACTCTCAAGAAGCTGGGAACCATTAACCATGGCACCATACACTACACATAGCAGTACACTGAATTCTGTTAATCCTGTCAAATCTCTAGTTTCCAGGGTTACCTGCATCATTGTTACCCTTGAAAAGGAAAATAAATGAGAGACATTTCCAAAAGACAATTTCCAGAGATGAGTTTGGTAAAAATGATATCAGAAGCGGCATTGTAAACTCCCAGATTGAGGACATGGCAGATAGTTGTTCGCTCCTAACTACAGGAAGACCCAAAGAAATGCTAATTTCACGTGCTATTTTCTCTCGATGACATCTGAGGCAGATAAGAGGTGTTATGTTTATGTGCATCTCTGAATCACACATATGCGAGGCACCTCTTATGTAACTTGGGCCGGGCCACTTAAGACGCTCGCACACAGGCCAGACAACTGCTTGTACTATCAGCGCATCAAAACTTACGAGAAAAGGGAACATCAAAACGGACTTTGTGGTGCCACAGCGGCTGGACCACCTCACACTGACTCACTTTGAGGAACATCATTAAAAACGGCTGACCAAGTTCACAGAACACTTCCATCTGTGTTCCCCCCCACTGTTTCTGCTTTGCACACATGCTTCCACCATCAGTGGATATTCATCACCGGGGTTTCCCCCTGCACCCTCTACCCCCCCGAACCCCCTACCCTGGATGAGATTTAAGAGAGCTTTGAATGGAATCTTTTAGCTCCCGCATGACTCTCTCTCCACGTCGTGTTTTTCGCCGCTGCTGAGCGACGCGAGGCTCGCACAGAGCGCCTCTGTTCCTTCGCCGCGGTGACACAAAGGCTACATTTGAAGCATGCTCTGCAGCACGCCGTCGCCGAAACACACGCCACGACAAATGGTCCTGTTGTCTGTGTGTGTCTGTGTGTGTGTGTGTGTGTGTGTGATGAGTGACCAGACAGAGAAGCCAGGCATTGAGCCTTTGTGATGGAGCCCTGGGGGCCAGACAAGGCTGCCCAGCTGTACCCCTCTTGACTGCCCCCCCCCACACCCCCCACCCCCCCACTATCCATTTTTACACTCTGCACAGTAGGTCAGGACTGTAAAACTTAACCCGCTTAAAGGGAGTGTCTTTGGGGTAAACTTGCGCCTGACATGTCCTCAGGGACAAATACGTGGACACAGAAGCTAACACATAAGATTGCTTGAACATGGTCCGCATGATCATTACGGCATGGTGAGCCACTCCAAACATTGCATTCATTTGGTTGCAGACATATGATAGTGGTTACTGTGTAATGGATTTGTCTAAGCTCCAAATGGTAGTTAGGGGTGTTGACATTTTGAATTATCATCCAAATCTAGGATGTGGAAGAAATGAAGAGATGGCTCATCACACAGAGACACAGAAAGAATTCAAGAAAAAATTAAAAAGTCAAGCAACTCTTCTGACTGCCTGTCATTCAATTTGGTGCTTCGATATTTAGTATGATTTTATTTCTATTTCACCCACACGCTTTCTACCGTTTTATAGCAAAACGAAGGCAGGATGTGTCGCACCGGGCAAACATTCCCAGATGAACTCCACGACCACTAACATCAGCACATCATGGACAAGTCTCCACGTGGGTTTGGGTTACTGTTAGTCATGCGTTTTATGGCCCAGAGTGGGTTAGTGGGTGCCATGCATGTGTGTGTGTGTGTGTGTGTGGGGGTGTATGTGTGTAAGCAGACAATGCGAGCGAGAAGAGGAGGCCATTCTTACCAGCACTGGTGCCTGCGCCAGTGGTGAGGTCAGCACCCATGAGGCCACCTGAAAGATGAAAGAGAGCAAAAGAGAGAAAACCATTAGAGGATGAACGCCCACGTAACATCCCCGATGACTCCTGTCTCTTTACCTAGGTGGCCTTTTAGAGGCTAACTCAATTCCATCACAATCCACTTTGTGTGTGTATTTCTGTTTCAGTACATCATGATACCATAAGTAATACTGCTTCCCACTCAAAGCGCAACACTTGGAGCAACTGGACACAGCGAGTGGATACATGGAGCTGTCGTCCAAGAAAAATGACACATTATTATTTTTAAGCCATGCGAGGTGGAAGAGTGGGAGTGTCCAGAACATGTGCGGTTTGGTGTGGATGCAGCGAGCGCCAAAACTCATATTTATTTTGTTCTAGCATCGAGTCGTAATGACAGGGTTAGGGTGTGGGCAGCAGCTTTCGGACCAGAGGGACAGAAAAAGGACTTTGGACAACAATAACAAACCAACAGACTAGATTTGCATATGCCACCACTCAAAGCCTCTGCATAGACATCCCATGCGTAGAACATCACATGTAATCAATGGGATTTAATACGTTATTAAATCTTCAACTTTCTTTGAAACAAGCACTGAGGGAGAAATCTTTGAATATATATATATATTGAAATTAATTTACTGCTTTGAGATATCCCAGGTTGCTATGAAAAAATCCATCACGCAAGAGTGTATCTATCAGCATCACTGAAGAGTACACACAGTTGAGAAGGTAGAGCGATTGGATAATAGCGTGTACGTGGGTGCATGAGGTCCTATTTGTGTTACCTGCACTGGGGGGTCTGTGAGTAACTCCAGGAGACATGCTGTTTCTCTGTAGGCCGTGGTGAGCCAATGGCAACAGGTTGTGGTTGCCTAGGGAACCACCGGGATGGCTGTAAATTAGATTGTTCTGGTTGCTAACGGGAATGGACACAGACATGTCATAGTTCGATTGGGGCACGGCCTGCTGAGAGAGAGACAGAAAAAGGAGACAAAGAAACAACTCTGATTAGATTACAGTAATGATTGCAGTGAGTGAAGATAGTAAAACAAGGCCTTTGAGCAAAGGAATGGACGATGGAATAGAGAGACACACAATCAGAAACACTCCAGGATCACAAAGGAATTTAAATTGCTTGGCAATCTGCACTCACAACAGTTGAAACAAAAGAAAGAAGATAGAGACGGCCAAGTTTGAAAGGACAAACGGACAACAGAAACAGCGACAAAGAACAGCGTCCAAGACAAAGACTAAAAATATGAGACTGTGAGTATGAATAGTGGAGGCGAGCACTGAAATGAAAGGGTACGTATCCAGAAAACTCCTCCTGCAGTTACTCAAAGTGCCCCCATGAGGTTAGAAATACTTTATATGTTTCTGCTGACTTATTTCTTGAATTTGTCATTGTGGTGGCAAAAGGCTGACTTGGAAACATGAAGTTGAGGACATTTCTTTTCAAATAAATTCCTTCTTTATTATATTAGAGAAATAAGAAGGATGTGGCTCAACGGGAGGAAAGCCAATGGCATCCTCATGTTCACTAAAAAAGTAAGCAACGTGTCTTTCAAAAGTAGCTGTGAGACTGTAAAACTGAATGCAATTAGGGCTCATTTGTTTATCCGTCACATGGAGCTAACGCAAAGTGTCATTAAGGGGTGGACTCAGATCGGTCAGCATTCTCATCAGGAACATGGGTAGAGGTAGCCTGTCGGCCCCAGGCGTCTAGTTTGTCATGTTTATTGTGTCAGTTGGGTTTAACCTAGGGAGTGCCCTGGAAGTGGTTCATCCTGCATGTTAGCTTAAGGAAGTAGAAAATAGGGCCTTAAATTACTGCCATGTGTCTCGAAGCCATGGCGGGTGTGCATCAGGGGGGGATCGTCGGCCTGGAAAGTGGATTATGTGCTCTTTTTGCAGGCGAAATATTGTGCCCCGCATGTGGGGGCCTCTAAACGTTTAGCTTCCTTCTGAGAGAGGGGCTGCCTCTGGTTACATTTTATTTGTTCGATACTTTCAGTCATTTCTTCTCATCTTGGATTACGTTGTTGGAGGTTTTACACCTCGAGAGACTTCCCTGTGAGGGTTTTTTTTAAGGGTGGGGGAGCCGTCTCAATGTGTGCACATTTGCGCTCACACACATCCCTTCGGGTGGGCGTTAGGGCCCCGTCGTTGAGCTGTCCTCTAACCGGTGCCATCCTTCCTGTTTTCACTGATCTTCCTCCTTGCCTCGCCCCTCAACAGTCTCCTGCAATCCAGAGGCCCAGTGTTTGGCAGCCACCCTGACCACACACTGAACTGCCACTTGTTGTCTGCAGAACCCCCCCCACCACCCCCGCCCCGCACCCCCCAACACCACCACCGCTGCTGTTCCACCCCCGTCCCCTTCCACCTCTGATCCCAAAACCACCCTACGCCGCCACGCCATCCCAGCTCACCAACCCTTGCATTGCTTCTAACCACAGCTCCCCTCGCTCCACGTGGCTCAGACACTACTGTTCTTCTCTAAGTGATCTACCATGGAATTATCTCTTTCTCTTTTGAGGCTACAGCCCTAACCGTTCCAATATGCTGCTTTCTGAGTGAAGGGCAGGCTCAGTTTACATGCAGAGCGGCCTTCATCTTGTGGTTTCTGGCCACTGCCTAAAGGTTAGATTCTTTGTAAAATGAACACAATATAATGTCTATTAACAGACATGTTATTAGGCTACTGAAGACCTCGTCTTCTATTATCCCAATGGAGTGGAGATTATTGAGTTTTGTGAGGTAGAGATGTATGCTTCAGAGTTTGTGAATGTCTGCTGCTGTTTCATTGCCACAATGCCTGTCCTTTGTTGTTACGGGTGTCTGAGTACTGTGTTTTGGTGCAGGAAAGGCGCACCCGGACCACACCTCCCCTGGGAACCAGGCAAGACATTGTGGGTAACGGGTTTGAGGAGGGAACCCAGTAAGGTTGAAATTTGTCACGGGAGAAAGTCTGCAATCATACAGAAGTAATGCTTGCTAGTTATGGTCACCGTTGTGTCAAATTAGAGGACCGTTCCTCAACTGTAATCAAGCAAAATCAAACAACTGTAATCCTTTTTACTGTAAGTATACAATATCAATTCACTGCCGTCTCACTTTCTGTATTTATTCTAGAGGCAAACAATGGTGGTTAGCTGGGTTAGCTCAAGAGTTACTGGCAAGTCAGCATTTTGTTAGCCTGCCGAGGATGCGGCGGAGCGTCAACCCAGTACTTACAGGTATCCTATGAGTTTTAATCATGTGATCAAACTCCTCGTTAATCTGTTTGTATTTCTCCTCAGTGCTCGGCGTGAGGAGGAGAGCAGTCTCGAGCTCCGGGCTTTCGCTGCCTTTGTTCTCCTTCTTGCTTAATGCCTGCCAGGTCCCACAACCACCAAGACGGACGAAGGGAGACACACATGAAGGGACAGATAGATGGGTGGCAGGAAGATGCCAAAAACGAGGAGACGAGGACGAAGCGACAGAAAGCGTAGGGGGGAGAAAGGGGGAAAGAGAGGAAATAAAAGTGAGATGAAGGTTCGGGGATTAACAAGAGGTACTTACACACAGTCTCTGTCTGCTGATCATCAGATCAATGTCCTCGTTTATTTTCCTGTACTTGTCCTCGGACTCGGGGCTGTGACCGACCGAGTCGTCTGCGTCGGGGTCCGGGCTGTCACAGCCGTTTAGGCCCTTCTTTCTCAATGTCTGCAAACACAGCAGTTGCACAATATAGTTGAAGGGTTTTGGGACGGGGAACATGAGCCAAGTGCAGCTTGGGAGGGACCAATACTGATAGACTATGGAGACCCTTTAGAATCCATAAAAACATTAGGCACCAATTGGAAAACTTTTACTACTGAATTGATTTATTCATATGAGTTTATTTTTTCACAATGAAAAATTCTGTCCGTTTGCGAAGAATTATTAATATTTGCAGGCTTCATTTGAACGTAAATCAAAATGGGTGATACCAGGATACACTGGCTGCTTTCTGAAGAAGAAAAAATGCAGCAAAACACTGAAGTGGCACAACGGACCTAATCACTTCCACTAACGTCACAGAAAAACTGATCAAGCTCTTCACCAAATGACAAAATACGGGACCTTGAAACAACATAATTACACAGGAAAAGGCAAAGCCGTAAATTTAAAATACATTTTATAACCATAATCATCAGTATTTCATGAAATAAAACTAAAACGCAGTTGAGGTACTTGAGTTCATGACTGCGGTATATGTGCTCTACAAAGTGGCAGTTTCTGTTTTGGCCACCTGATGGCCACCTGCCCCCATTAAAGCGGCCAGAAAACAGCAGACAGGCAGAACAGCGGCGCTCTCCCTCCGAGAGACACAGACAAAGAGAGCTCACGTGGGAGAGAGCTGCCTCGGTCCTTTTTTAGATATTGTTGACAACCATAACAACGGGGATACGTTTCAGAGGACATTACCGTGTGTGATAGCACGAGGGTGTGTTTGTTTGAGCAAGTAGGCATGTACCGGTAGGTGCTGTGTTCATTCGTCTTTAAAAGAGACAAAGACAGCGCCGACGAGACAAAAAAGTACAGTACCTGACAGTTAGAGATCTCATCAAAGCCCCCCTCCTCCGTCCCCCCAACCCTCCTCTTCTCCAGCCTGCTTTCACCCCCCCCATCTCTCCTCCTGGCTTTAATAAAGGAGATTAGTCTACAGGCGGAATATCACGGGCCTGCTCCTGTCTGTGCAGTCGTCGCTTCACACTGCGCTCTCCTACTTTCATCTGAAGCTCCATATCAGACAGACGTAATTAAATTTACTTTAGCACACCCTGTATTTGATGCTGATCAAGAGCGCGGGTCCCTCTCTCTCTCTCTGTGTATGTTGTAGTGTGCGTATGTGTCTGCCGGTGTGCGTGTGTCTTTGTGTGGGATGGGGAAAGAGAGGAATGAGTCTGTGTATGTGTGGGTGTGTGAGAGTGGGTGCTGGCGTCAAGAAAAAAAAAAAAAAGACAAGAGAGACTGAGCAGGAGCAAGGAGGAAGATAGATGCTAAGATAAGTTAATCTCAGCGAACTTCTTCCTCTCATTTGTTTTTCTTCCCTCACAGAAGAGATACGTGTGCGAGCTCCTCCATCACAACCAGCAGCCAAAGTGACAGGGAGCGATCTGCCTGCTTAGAAAACAAATAACACTCCAGTCATCTCTCTCGTCAGCACAACAAAGGCCTGTTTCGAGTGTGGTTTTAGTGAACTTAGAGGGCTCCTTTTGTGTGTGAGATAACCGTTTGAATCCTGAGGCGTCTCGTGGCAAGGCAGCTACTGTAAGCGTGTCAACGTTTGCTGGCTCTCCTCTTCTCTCTCCTCTCCTCACTTGGCCCCCAGAGTGGATATCTGGAATTCTGAATTTGAAAGCGTCCCTCACATCTTTTGACAGGCTTCAGGAAATCACACCAAACAAATCAGCCAAGGCGGTGCAGGAGATCTGACTTCTAACAGGCCCACAGTGAATCAGGCACTCTTTGCTCCATCAGAGGTGGATGAGTCAAAAGAACAAAGGGGTCGAAAAGGTTTAGCATGCTGTCTTTTTTGGCAAAGGCGAGAGATGTAAAACTTTTGCTGTTTCTTTGGTGTAGTTTCGCTCTGGCCCCGGCGATGCATCATATCGAACTGACAAGAGCTGAACCGGTGGCCTTCTTCTGTTCACATGAGAATGCAAGAAGGAAGAAAAGTTTTCTTCCCTTGCACAGATTTCTACCACCTACCGCCGCCAGCTGAATGCATGAGAGATTCATTTCCATTCTTGGAAGAATAGCAGGGGGGCACTGCTGGGAGAGGAGGACGAGGGCCGGGGTAAAGGTGACACCCATATGGGGCAACAGAACTAGTGGTCTGATGTAAGGTTGGGAAGTGGTTGCCTTGGCTGTTGATTGGCTGCAGGCCACGGGTGTTATATGACTTTGGAGCATGTGGCCGAGGCTAAGCTTTCCATCGGGGCTCAGCACATTGAAGGAGCGGCACAGGGACGGTATGCCACTCGTCCCAGTTATGCCCACCTGTTTAAAGACATCACACCTGTTGCCAAAAGCTGACACACGACCTACCAACCAATCAGATCCGTTGCAGTGCTCCCAGAGCCATAGAAGGGCCTCTCACTCTAGCGCTCTCCACCTCGCAGCCCTCCATATCGTCTTCCTATGTATCCGTCTCTAATAGCTCATTGCTTAATCTGTGCACTGAATTTGTTATGTGTTATATGGCTCTGCGCCACGAACTCATGGACCGCTGCTCTTATTCAGTGACATCAACACCACATAAGATCAGAGACGTGAATGTCACATTGACAGAGAGAATAATGATCATTTGAGCTGCCCTTATATTGAAGAGGGGTATGTAGAGCTAGCATGAAAATATAGTTTTTTGGGAAATATGCTAATAGGATGAGAATTCTTTTCACTAAATATTCCCCCAATTCTCATTTTTTTAATTATTCAATTTCAAAGTAAGTGGAATTTCTTGTTTCATAACAAGAAAAAAAATGTTTTATTTCTTACAAAATCACTGCTGGCACAAAAGCCAGAGCATTTTTTATGGAGCATTGTTTGAGTTCATGGCAATTGTAACGCTTCTGATGCCCAAAAGTAAAACATTTTCACCGCTAATTACTACATCAGTCAGTCAGTTCATTTTGAAGTAGAAAGAAGACTAAACCTCGAACCGAATGTCCTGTACAGTCCAACCCAACAGAACATATGGAAATGCAACAAAGTCATAAAAATCAGTTCATAGGAAAGAGCCTGATAGAGAAAATGGGTAACGAGAGAGAGAAGAGAAGAAAGGGCCATAATACAGTATATGTGAGAAAATACAAGCAAGAAGAACAGGATGTAGGTAAACGTATTACAGAGAACAGAGACCGCTAAATAAGCTGTGTAGGCCTGCTTGGCTCTGCGTCTTTCTCCGTGGCCCCTTTGGAGGCTTGCTCCTAATTAAACTCCTTCTTCATGACGCTCCCTCATGGCAGGAGTTGTCGCAGGGCCTGTGTTGAAGCACGCACCGCATAGACGCGGCGTCCTACATATTTAGACACGCGCTACTCCTCAGCTCTGCACCCTCAGCTGTGCCCGGCCTGGACCGGGCCCGGCTGAGATGGGCTACAGGACGACAGTGAGCAAGGCTGAGTAAGGAGGCCAGGGCTGGATTGACATAATCAGGCCCAGGTGTGCACCACAAGGGGACTGAATCATACTACGTATCGCGCGGTGTTAGTACATCTGTCAAGGATTTTAGTTTTTTGATATTTTAATTGCAGGAAAACTGCAGCCATTTACTCCTTTTATAGTTTAGTGTGCGGGGTAGTAACTTTGTGTGGCTCTTGAAAAAAGCGGCGGCGAGTATTTGGGTGTGAATTCAGGGTGGCCCCAGGGGGTCTACAAGGGACAGCTGACGCCGGCCCAGAGCTCCTGCCATACCAGGATCCGTCTGCTCGGCATTCTGCCACCCTGCTCACCCTCTCTATCCCTCTATCCATCTTTCTGCCCCCATCTTTCTGTCTCAGTCTGCTGCGCAGTCTGTCTCTGTCTCCCTGCTTCTGTCCCCCCCCCCCCCTCCTCCCCCACACCTCTCCCCCCTCGTGTTTCGCAGCGCTGCCGAGTCTCAACAGAAGCCGGGTCAAAACATTGTTGGCTTGATGGCTACATCTTTATTTCCGACAGACTTGGACTAGTTGATGGGTTGATGTTTGGAAAGAGCGTCATTTCTGACCGTTCCCCTCTGCAGTTATCTTGGCAGTGGCTGGAGGGTACGACACATTCAATATTGTGTTTATGGCTATTGGCGACAGCCAGGCTAGTGAATGTTTCTCAATGTCTTCAACCTAACGGCTGACAACTTCAGCGCAAAAAAACACACGCAAAAAACAGCTCGTTATATTAGGCCTTTTACATCTTTGCCAGCACTGAATGGTCTTCACATACATACACATACTATTGTAATCAAACCCGAGGCTTATAAAAGAAGATTGTTTAGTACCAAAGCACAAAGCATTTTCCCCAATAAATGGAGCGGTTTACAGTATATTTCAGCAGGCGATGAAAAACAAGTTGCTGACATATGAGTACAATATGAAAGCATTATTTTCCGTGCCACTTGTGGGTAATCATATTTTATATGCTCTTGAAATAATAAAATTGTTAATAAACAGCTTTGCCGAGCAGGGTCTCAGCCTCTGTTTGTCATAATGTTAAAATTGGTTTATAAGAGATTGAGTCACTCTGACTATCATGAAAACTTATACAGACCTTCTGTCACAATATGTGAGCATTTTGAGGTTGAGTGTGACCACAAGGAGCTTCTATTGTATGCAGTACAGTCTTTTAGGCAACCGGTTTAGGGCGCCAAACTTAATTACAATAGAAAAGGTTTCACAAATAATCTTCAAATAAAGAAAAGGTCATCCAAAGTTTAGGCCTACAATATTCAAATAGGCATTGTAAAATCAGACAATGTATAAATGGGTTATAACCATAAACAGTCTACAGCACATGTCCTTTGACTGGTCGTTCCGATTTAGACTGTTTGAGGGTAAAAATATCACGGAAAGAGGAACGATTTGGAAAGTCACGTGACGAGAAGGAGCAAACTCAGTTTTGTCAGGGCGGATTGGTAAAGAGCTGGTCGGTGTCAGTAAGGGTGAGGCAGTTCCTTCCCATTACAAATCCCAAGATGGATGTAG